GAAATGATAATATAGCAGCATGGGAATTATTAAAAATTATAGACATGTTTGAGTCGGTAAATGATAAAGAAAGATAGTTTTTTATGTTGAATGCCACCCAGCATGATCTTGATCAAATGATGTAACAATGGTGTGAACTCAAGACAAAAGTGATCCAAAGAAATAATCTACAATTGATAATAAGAAAGTAACGTCAAAATGTGTAAACAAAATTACTATTGCTTTTCATGGATTAATGCTTTCATATAATACCAATTAATACTCATGATGTCATGTACATGTTCCCAATCACTCAAGGCTTGATCATATTAAAAAACTTCTCATAACACAACCAAGAGCTTCAGTCAAGAAACCGAATCCGTGGGCCCTTTTCAACTACTTGGCACTTCACTTAATGCCCAGTTCACAAGCCTTGGTCTTAGCACTTAGGATGGCAAAGAGAATAATGATGGGGATTTAGTTGAGAAGACAAAAATTATAAGAAAGTCTCACATCAATGCAGCTTGATCGTTAGGCGAGAGGAAGCCTTACAACCGATATCAATGTTAGGGGTGGGGATTGTCATGCAACATATGCACTAGAGCAATAAGTGTATGAAAGCTCTCTAAGTGCAACTAAGTGGGTGTGCATTCAACTTGGTCGCTCACGTCCTAGAGAATTTTGATGAAGCTCGTCACAAGAATATGCAAGTCAAGTTCTCATAATGTAAAAAATCTCACTAGCGTAAGAAATGAATAACATGAAGACTCTCTATATAAAAACATGGTGCTACTTTGAACCACGAGTGTGGTAAAGGATAGTACAGTGCACCCCATCTCTCTTTTTCTCTTAGTCTTTATGGGCTCTTTTGGCCTCTCTTTTATATATATCCTCACATGTAGGGGGACACTCTAGAATGCATAGCACTTTTATTTGCTTACAACTCTGATGAAATGAAAAATAATGACTACAAATGAATGCCTCTGGCAGTGTATCAGGATGTGCAATGATTCTAGCGTACCATGTATCAGTGAATGGTGATCCAGCCACAAATATCATGTCAGCTCTATAATCATGCAAATCAAAATGACAGTGAATTCTCAAGTCATATGGCGAATAGTAACAATGGAAGTTGCATGACAATATATCTCGGAATGGCTATGGAAATGCCATAATTGTAGGTATGGTACTGTGGTGACTATTTTGAAAAGATATAATGAGCCTTATGTGTGAGAGAGTGTATCATCCCACTGGGTTGGATGCATCGGCGAAGTATGCACCATGTCTCAATATGAGAGTTGGCAATGCGGGGTACCGAAGAGGCTAGCAAAATATGGATAGGTGGAAGTGCATAAAGACCGCAACTCATAAACCAAAACATCTCACTAATACTTCATAGTTTACACTGGGTAACCACAAGACCGATCACTCCAAGGGGTGAGTTGATGAACCGAAGTCCGTTCGCTAGGCTTCCCGACCCATTCAACAAGGTGGTTACTTGCAATGTTCTTCAACTTAGACCCCTCATAGTTAGTTCCACTTAAACAACCATAAGTATTAACATGTATGACCTTATAACGCATTTCCACCACTTCACGCAAGTCCTTAAGGCTACACAAAAATAATTACCAACTCACTATCTCAAAATCATTGAAAGGAATCCAATTATCAAGTTCAATTGATCTGCAAGTTCATGCAAGGTTTTATTATAGCACTCATATATACCTATTTTTAGACCAAACATGCTATTCATGCAAATTGTCAATTCCTATTCAACTATCTAAAAATATTTAAGTGAGGCAAGAGAGTTCTAATATTTTTCTATAAAAACATAGTTTATCACAGTGCTCTAACAAGTATATGTGAAGTACTAGATCAAATTCTGTAAACACCTCTACTCAAATAGATACAAGTGAATATCAAATGAGCATTCTATAAATATGAGATGAATATGTGTCTCTCATAATAGGTGTGATCAGAATACGGTGTTAAATAGGAGCACTCCTTTTTGGACCTGGCCCAACAACGCGTTGCGCCTATGTGTGGCCCAGGCCCGGGGGCTCCTGTCGGTGTACTAAAGTAGGGGCACTCCTTTGTACCCCTTACTTGTGCGCGGGCAGTCAGAGCCACAGGACGAAGCCACACTTAGCAGGGCAAAAGGGAGGAGTCGAAGCCACAGAAACAATCGGCGCAACGCCAAAGACCGAGACCACAGAGAGCAGATGGACGAATCAGGTTTCCCTGGCAAGACCCTTGCCGGGGCAGCCTCAGCAGCCCCGGCAAGCCCCTTGCCAGGGCGGCTTGCCCACACCAGCAGAGCGAGCCACCCTCGAACCCACGGTCTCCAACGCCATCAACCATGTTGTGATAGGGCTCGGGAGGCACCTCCATGGTGGCATGCAGATCTTTGTGAAGACAAAGAATATTCAAGATCAGAGAGGATTGGAAGGCAACGATCCTCGACAAGATCATTGTTGAGGAAACCCGGGGACGACAGCGCGCCACGGCAAGACCCTTGCCGGGCCACCCGGCAAGGCCCTTGCCAAGGGCGTCAGCGGGGCCACTGCTAGGCCCGCGCCAACCGAGTCTCCACTGCCGTTCACATGCAGCCGCCAGCCCAACCAGCTGGGCAGGCACCTGCGTGGCAACATGCAGCTTCCATGCCAACTCAGCACACGCCTGCGTGGTGGCATGCAGATCTTCGTGGAGGCTCCACTACTACACCACCTCAGCTGCTTGCCTGCCTACATGGCACCGCATGCATCGCTGGCCAGGGCGTGTGTCGAAGCGAGGAGGAGCGCCGACGGACGGGACGGGCCTCGGCCCCGTCCCCGATAAAGCAAGAGGACACCTAAGCTACACATTAAATGCGCCTTGTCCTGTAATACGAGCGATAAGCTCATAGCACTGTAGGTCTTTCCACCTCCTGTGTGCCACTGTGGCCGCCCCTTTCGACTATAAAAGGAGGCCCATGGCGTATTGGAGAGGGATTCGGCTCTTTGGAACCATGCAGCCACCGTAGCTAGTTCGAGAGCTCAAGAACACTCAATACATCCACCAAAGCAGGACTAGGATTTTACGCATCCCCGCGGCCCGAACCTGGGTAAACGATCCTTGTGCTGATTGCTAATCCTGCTCTTCTCACAACCCCGCGCCCCGCAACCGCAGAAGGGATCCTCATGATCCCATAGGTGTCGTTTTCCACCGACACAGTGATTGTAGAAACCAGCAAATAAAATTCAAATAAAAGCAAATGACGCTCTAAGCAAAACATATATCATGTGAATAAATAAAAAAGTAGGTCCAACCGAGTAATACCGGTAATTTTTGAAGACGAAAGAGGGGATGCCTACCGGGGAATCCCCAAGGTTAGACGTTTGAGTCTCCTTGAATTTTACCTTAGGGGTGCTTAGGGCATCCCTGAGATTAGGATCTTGCCGCTCCTTGTTCTCTTCATATTGTTGTCTCACCTCGATCTTAAAACTTCATCCACAGAAAACTTAACAGAATTCATGAGATAGGTTAGTACATATAAAATAAATCATTTACTCGTGTACTGTCAATACAAGATGCATATTTATTTCCAAACAATGTCTATTGTATCCTATCATTTTCACAATTTATACCCCCCAATATAGGTCATGGAAACTTTAAAACAAGCAGATAAAGAAAACATATCAACAAATCTGTCAAAAATAGAACAATACATAAAGATCTAATATTTACACATACTTCGATAAGTCCGAAAATTCTGAAAAAGTAGGACATCACAAAGAATTTGTAACATAGTAATTTGTAAAAAAGTTAGAAATTGATCACTCTCCAGTACAGAATGAAAATTCAGACAGTGGATGAAAAAATGTTTATGTTTCTGCACAGAACCTAATAAACAAGCATTTGCAACATCCCAAGGTCTTAAGTTGGCACGAAAACAAAATAAAAGATACAAACATAATTACTACAATAGCAATAATTATGCAGGCTCAGCAAACAAAAGCACAAATTTAAAGATAAATATTGGGTTGCCTTCCAACAAGTGCTATTGTTTAATGCCCCTCTAGCAAGGCATAATGCATGCATCAAGTTTTATCATCATTCAATACTTTACCAGCTCTTTTTAAGTGAAGATTTCTTTCAAATCCACATGGCTCCTTACGGTTCCCATTAATATCTTTATCAATATTAGGATCTATAGACAAAGAGCTTCCAGAATTCTCAAAATAAACAAAGAAAATATCAAGAGTTTCAAGCTTTTTATTACAAGTTATTAAATGAGAACTCATACGCTTCAAATTAGAATTAGGAGTTTCTCCATTTTTACTCAAATCAATTAAATTTTTTTGGATAACACTCAGTTTATCAAGAATTTGAACCCCTTCTTGGGTAAACGGGAGGAGGTACCCCAAGGATAGCAGTAAAGCTTTCTCTCAATTAGAACCAAGGTTTATCGAACCGACAAAAGCTTTTAGACTACCAAGATAAGCAACAGCTGCACACAAACAAAGTAAAATACTTGCACCCAACACGGCAACTTAGTAGGATTGTACACCACAGTTGAACGTATTGTCTCGTTTTTTGCCATTTTCTTTCTTCCTTTTCACTCTGTGCATGAACTTCGCTGCTGCGGAATTCGGAAAGTAATGGGAAAATGAGGCGATCCGGTTGGAACAAGAAAAGAAGAAAGGCATCCACCCCCCTTCAAAAATGTCTTCCACGAGGACCAAAGACACCGAGGATAAACCCGCCACGCCATCTTCCCCAATTGTTTATCCAGCGCGCCGGCCCCGTCACCGGTGGCGACCCACCCCCGTCCCGCCGCGTCGCCCAATAGCCACCGGCCACCCAGCCGAATCACCACCGCCCGCCGACCGAGCCGACGTGTTCCGCGGCCGACCTCACCGCG